ATATATATATAAGTTATGTCATTAGAAAACTGATAAACTGATGAGTAATCCTTGGAGACATCCAAAAGCCAGGATGAGGTCCTAAGCAACCCGATCTAGTTGACCCTGCTTTGAACATGAGGGTTGGGCTCAATGATCTCCACGGGTGCCTTCCAGCCTCAGCTGTTCTGAAATTCAGTGGTCAGCACTGGGACAGCTGAATATATAGCTTGAGTTACACACAGCTGATCACTGGCAAAGGCTCTGGGTCAGATTCTTATCTGATGGAAACTGTCTTGGCTCTGTGTTATTCAGCATTCACTATCTAAAGATTTGGCTCTGCAACTGTAGGGACACACAGAGCTGTTTTATTTTCCATCATCAGTGCATGACAATTTGTGATAGTGTTAAAATCTGATTAAATCACCGTATAATTTGGCTTTTTTTAGTATTATCTGAAGTTGGAGAGAAGTATGTAGATGAAGAGGTAAAGAAAGCTTTGATTGGTATTAAGCAGATGAAAATTATGATGGAAAGAAATGAAGATAAGCACATAGATCTGATGAAAACCTTGAAGAAGAGCAGTCAAGAAAAAAAGGTAACTGAAGTGCATCTGGGATTTTTTTTGCTTGTATTTCTGTTAAGTTGTGGCTATTTTTAATTAAAGATGGGCCAGGTTGTATATGGGTTTAGTCTACCTCCTGAAAGTAGTAGGGGATGCCATTGTGCTTAGGCCAATAACCAACCCAGCAGGGACCCTTTCATGTCTTCCCTTTTTTGGGAAGAATGTAAAACACATTGTATGTATGGCGAGCAGCATACATCTCTTTATGCAGTCACAGGATTAATAGGAAATCAGTTTCTGCCCCTTTATCTCACTAGCTGAAGAAAACTCTCATGGCACCTCCATAGAGGCTCTCACTGCCTGTCTCCTGGAAGCAGGAATTGGGCCAATAGACATTCTTTAATAGCCTATAAGGAACCTCGATGTTCACATCTCAGAAGAAGTTAAAAGATTAGTTTATATTTGCCAATTGCTTAAGAAAGAGCTTGCCTGCTGCCAGGACCCTGGCAGACTGATGCTTCAACCCTGAGGGAAGCTTTCAGACTGCGCTGGAATAAAGCACTGAACAAGAGCACCGCCTGCCTCACTGGTGCCTCTTCTTGATTGTGCGGTTCTTTTGAAAGCTAGAGGTGAAGAGTTTCTGTCTTTCCTCAGAAATACAGCTTTCTAATTGCATGGTATGCTGTTAGTTCTTCCCTGTGGTGGAATGTCTAAGCTATTTTTAAACTGAAACAGAAAGAGTGAGCACTAGACAAAATACAGCTGATTTACTACTAGTTAGCAAGTTACCTTCTCCCAGCCCATCCTGGTTGCAAAGTAAAACACATTATCTGACACAGCCTTCCTTGAGATTTGAGTGCTCTCATTTTGTTCTGCAACTGGGAGGTAACCAGCAGCAGCCTAGTAGAGCTAATGGTGACCACCATGTAGAGGTACAGAAGTTCTGTAGTAAAAGGAGATATTAAATGCTGTATGTGGACTCAAACATTACATTTGAGAGAGAACCTGAGTTTTGTAACATCCAGCTGCCTGAGCTGCTGCAACAGCAATGTGTTGACTAAAGTACTGCATTCACTGCTTGTTTCTAGAAATCCCCTGCTTTGCTGAATTCACACCAAGGCAACTGCAAGCAACTGTATAAAGGTATTTTGTGCAGAAGCTCCAGCAGCTCTGCCCTGCATGTCTTTATACACCTCAGGCCACAAGATACTTCCCAGCTTGCTTTGCAAAGTTCAGACCTGACCTTCAGAAAAATACCAAAGCCATAAGTGACAATGTGCCCTGGTACAGGGTATCAGGGGAATTTCCAGTGTCCTAGTGCAATGCCTAGGCTCATAGCCATGTGCTCAGGTGATCCTCAGAAATAGAGATTACTGTATGTTTAAAAAAATACAAAGGTCCTAACTCTTGCTTTCAATGAAGGTCAAGGAAAATTCCTTCTTGGCCCAACATCTCGTAGTTAGTTTAAACTATTTGTATTAGCAAGCCAAAAAGTGTCTGATAGCTTTCTAACATCTTTAGGAACACCAGTACACTCCCATGATCTACACTGTTGAAAGCTCTTACTGGATGATTTCACTTACACAGGACTTACAACTACAGCGAGAGTTCAAAAAACACTGAATAAATGTATTAGAAAGATCACAAAATAATTAAACATAGACTATGAAGCCCACAGTTACTGTCTTCACCAAGCTCATTCTGACAGATTTCTTTCCTATGAGCCTCTTCCCTATTGAAATGCTGCCAGAAAGCAGTAAGACTGACAAATTAAAAGGTTTCTGTCACACTTAGGAACAACTTGGAACATTGTTTGGAACATTTTTAAACTAGTAAAATATGTTGTACTTCCAGAAAGAAATTCATGATGTGCAATCTACTTCAATGGGAAGAACTACTCTCTCTTTCTATTGCTAAATCATCTAAGCCATGATGTTTCTGATCTGTTCAGCTTTGTGCTCTACATGATCCAGTAAATAAAAGCAGTGTTGCAAAATGCATCTTGTTTCCATTCAGTATGGAAGGAGTGCCTCACACTTCCACAAGAGCAGGAAGAAACCCCCTCACTACAGTCTTTTGATTAGTATAATCCCAGAAGAAATACTATACTTTTACATATTTCTGATCATAAGAATTTATGTATGACAAGGACCTAGCCTCATGAGATACCAGTCCCTTAATGAATAGAGCAGGAACAGATGAATACTGCAGATATGATAGGGTGGAAAAAATTGCATGAATTGAGCACATGACCCCCAGAGAGGTTGAATGCTTCTTGCAGAGAAAGACGTGGGTTTTTTTCATAACCTCAAAGATCCAGCTAGAGTGTAGAGAACCATTTGGTTTTGTAGGCTGTGCCCTCTGACATGAGAAAAAACCTGTAAGGAAAAGGTTTTAAATTTTCACTCCCCTCCATATGTGACTCAGATCATAGAATCATAGAATCATAGAATAGTTTGGGTTGGAAAGGACCTTAAGATCATCTAGTTCCAACCCCCCTGCCATGAGCAGGGACACCACACACTAAACTATGTCCCCCAAGGCTCTGTCCAGCCTGGCCTTGAACACTGCCAGGGTTGGAGCATTCACAAATGATGAGATAACAATCTACCCTTAACAGTTAAGGATTAGCAAAAAAAGAACCATAAATAGCCAGAATGAGTCATCAGCACTGGGATAAATATTTAGAATATTAATCTGAAAACTACCCTCAACAGAATCTTTTTTCTTACTTAGCAAGCCTTGCGTCTTATGGATGAAGTAAAAGCAAGATTAGAAGAAGAAGAAAGACAATGTCAAGTAACCTTGAAAAATCTATGGGATGAATGTGAATCTTGTTTAGAAAGTAGCTGCATAAGATATTATACAACTTGCAAACGTGGTTTGTCAACATTTAGAAGAAAGGTAGGAAAAAATTTTGTATCTATCTGGGAAATGCCCCTGAACTCACCTAACAGTTTTATAGAGAACATGTCTTATTTTCTCAATACCCATATCTGCCAGTTATTATGTGGTTACTAATATTAGTTTGATTTGGAGGGTCTGGAAATGTTACATGTTATATGGCAGAGATTGCATGCGATTATATTCATTGAACATTGGCCCAAAATGAGTTTGGTTGCACCCTGGTGTGACTCTATGGATACTGACTATTCCAAGAGAGTCACATCATATACACAATGTTGTCTCCCACAGTAAGACTTGCAATAAGATGCTCAATAACTATGAAAAATGCCACATAGATTCTTTATGGTCCATCTGAAAATCAGCAGATTTAAAAGTGTAGCTATAGTTAGCAAAATTCCATGGGGAATAAAAATCACCTACTTATACAACATCGTTATTTCCCGTATTAATTTTATTTTAAATTTGCCCTTTAAGTAACAAAATACCTTTAAAAGGCTTAACCTTTTTTTTTTTTAAGGTAAAGGAAACTGTCAGCAAAGGAGATTCCCCTAATTCTACCAGAAAGAAGATATGCTTTCCTGGCTGGCACATTATTATTTCAATATTTAACAACATTGTAATCGCATTTTTTATTTGGGCATACACTTGAAATGCAGCTTAACAACTGAAACTGTGCAATTACTGCTACCGAAATTTTAGCCCAGGCACTGAAAAATACAGTAAGTTAAAAATTAAACATGGTGTATTTCAGAGGTGACAAGGGTTAGAACAAAGGTGTTCTAACATTTGTGTGTATTCTTAAAATTATTCAGGTGAAAATGTGGAAGATACTAAGACAGTCGATACTTGCAGCTTTTTATTTTTGTCTTGTGGATACCTCAGATATATCTCTTGGACTTTCAAGTGTCTGTTGATGTCAGGTTGAAATTGCTGCAATAAAAATGTTATATGCTGCACTGTCACTGTCTTTGACCTTCTTGGTAACCTCCTCAGTGAGCTGTATGGTTTGAAGCATTCAAAGTAAGAAATGTGCTGTGACCTAAATTGTTCTGAAGAAAGAGGACAAAGGTGGTAGCTGTGGCTGATGACACACAGGCAGCAGGGGCAATCGTGGCTTAGGCTGTTCCTGCAGTGCCACTTCACAACTCACCTGTCATCTGAGCTGCACTAGTGGTCAGATCAAGCAGCTGATCCAATTAAAAAAAAAATAATAAATTAGTATATGTATATCTATGTGTGTGTTTGGCAGGGTGCTTCTTAATGCTTACCAGTTTTCTAATGCCATGAAGTGTGGCTCCACAAAACACCATCTGTGCAGATAAAGGTAGCACATTGAAGCAAGGAGCAGAGAACCAATGGCTGAGACCCAGGAACTGCGAACTCTATAAAGCAGGGTTGACGCTCTGCCTCTTCCGTCATCAAACTGTGGACTCAGAGCCACTGTTTCATTGCTTTTATTGGGTCTCAGATTGCACAAGGACATGAGGGTGTTTGCAGATCACAGCAAGAACAATCACCTTCTGTTACCTACACTGTGTATAAGTACCACAGAAATACTTCCAACATAAAGTCCAAATTGTTTGTTGGAAGAAACCCAAGTGGTTGTATTAACTTTGAGCCTCCACAGATTAATGGACAACTGGCAATGCTTCTACTCCAGATCTGATTTGGAGCTAATGATTTAGACTGAATGTACTTTCAGTCTTTAGAGTCTAGTGTCTTAAATTACTCTGGAGACTATACTGTATTTGCAGTTACTAAGAGGGCACTGTTTCTGTGGGTATTTGAAAGAGAAAAATTAGAGCCACTTCCCTGAGAGATGAAAAACTGGTACATTATCAGACAGCTGATCTATCTCCTTCTTATATACAGGTTGAAGATTTCTTGAGGAAAATACCTCCACTCATTTTTCCTTTTCATGAGGATCAAGGAAAAGACATCCAGTTTAATGAAAAGCCTGAGAAAGAGGATACCCAGCTAGTAAAAATGGAAGATTTATTTAGCCAACTGTTATCAGACATGGGCTCCATATTTGACAGAAGTTTAACTTTTTTCAAGCAGATGCAAAAAGAATTTGATCAATCTTTTCAGACATATTTCATGTCTGAGCTGGACTTGAATGATTCCCCCAGCACACCAGCTTTACCTGAGGTCACTACCAGAAATGACAGCTCACAGAAAGGCTGGGATATACCTGTCTTCTTACAGGCAGTTTTTGATTTCAGTAAGACTGTGTTTGAAGGTGTCAGCGAGGTGATTACTGAAGTATTTGATGAATACAAAGATAATAGAAGAGATGTGCCAGAACAAGCTAAAGGCAAGTATTAAAAAATGAAAATTGACTGTCAGTGACAACAAACACCTCAGGATTGCTGAACTATGGTTAATGATTCAGTTTGCTGTATGTTAGTGAGATACTGTATAGAAGCTCTGGAGGCTTTCTTGGTTAAACAGGCATGGGTCAACGATGGCTTTATCAGTTAAATGAAAAGGTACAAATCACCTAGACATCTCAGAGAAATGTCACAGGGGGACTTACAGGTCCTACACAGCCCGATTTTCATGGCAATTCTCAAAGCATTTCCAGGAGTTCCTCAGAAGCACTTGAATTCATGATGGATGCAGGTTTTCATAGGGCTGACTGACGGGTCTGATTTCAGCATCTGTCAGGATGTGATTTGTATCATATCATATTGACATGTCAGCAATTATAAAAAATTAGCTTATTTCTGTGACATGCAAAGCCTTGCCAAATGACATTAAGCACAGCCAGAGAGCTACCAGCCATGTCCCAGGCTAGTGCAACAATGCAGTGTACCAATCAAATAGAGACCAGCCATTGGGTTTTCTAGTGATCAGAAAAATTCTGGGCATAACTATGGTTTCAAGTAATAACTCTTAACGGAGTAAAAAACCCATAGTCAACTTTTAGAATACAAATAAGCCTTATTCTTTGTATCTTACTAGTGCAGATAAAAAACCAAATATTATTCAGATACATGCTGGTGCCTGTCTGTAAGGAGATCACAGTAAGCACATGCCATAACTCTGAGTGGCAGGTGACATAACCATTATATCAGGAAATACAAAGTTAAGTGATTCTTCAACAGTGTTTTTTATTTTTTCCTGTATCACGACTCATGTTCCCTCACAAATAAGCTTTGATACTGTGTTCTCATTTATCTGTATGTGATTATTATCTTGACTTCTAAGGGTCATAAAGATCTTAGCAGCACTTGTTACAGAAATATCATGTAATAATATTAGCAATTGTTTGGCTGTTACTGGGGAATATGCTACTATGCCTTTATAAGGGAATATACTATAGTGGCTCAAATTCCTTGAAAGAAAACATGATTTGTATCTTCTCCTGACTTCTACTTTTTAATGTGTTATTGCTTTTTGAGGGAGGGATAGAGGGAAGGATTTATGCCAGATATTCTGGCTAAAGAGCAGGAAATCATATTCTAGCACACAGAGCAGGTGACTAACATATATTTATCAAGACCCTAAGCTTAATGGCAGTCTAAAAATACTGTGACTTCATTCTAGATCCTGATAGAAGTGGCACGTTCTCAAAAATTGTGCCAGGGCGCCAGAGACCTCTGTGCAGGGAGCTTCGGGAGAACTCCTCTGGATGCCCACAGTTTCATGAGAGATGCCAGAAATGTCAAGACAATCTTTTGCATGGTAAATAGCTACTTTCTGATTATGTTTTTTCTCTAATGCATTGATCACTGGTTTGTAGATTTTAAGGCTGTCATTCTCTACTGTGCTGTTTCCATATTTTTGGAATTTAATATTTACTCACTGAGTTTTTACTGTAACTACGGATACAAACACTCCAGACGAGTTCAATTACCTTTCCCCACTGTCTCCACAGAGTGTCAGTATAACTCAGTTGTTAACATACCAAAGACGTTCTACACCCTGCAGCAAAACACCTATTTTGTTAGTGTTGCCGTCCTGCAGAGAAATAAGACGTTAGGCATTAATCGATCCTGCCTGGTATCAGCAGAAGTGCGAGCAGAAAGTGAGAAGCCCAAAGTCCTGACACGCACTTCTCCTGCAGACAGCCACACGTAACATCAGGTAGCACTGAGCTCCTCATGGGGAAAGCAAACACTGGAGAGCCTGTAATTATTCTTTCTTGAACTATGTCAGGAATCAGGTCTGACATGAAGGACAGAAAGGTGTCTGCTTGTCAGCATGTAAGGAGATGGCAAAACTCTGGTATACACCCTCCATGGGCATATGGAAAAACAATCAGACTGCATCAGCTAGAATTGGTCTCAGGACTCCCACAGCACCATAAACCATCTGTATTTCCAGAACCATTTAGGTCTCAAAAGCCTCAGAACTTGCTTAAACCCAAATGGCTTCAGAGTATCTCTAGTGTGGCAAATATTAATGATCCAATGACACATTTTGAAAAGAATATCAAGCCACTTCCATCACACTAAAAATATCTTTTTGTCTACAACTTTGTCTACAGATAGCAGTTTGTATCCGTGGTTACTGTACTATCAGCCTAAAGGTGTCCCTCCATAGTTCTATTTGACAGAGAGTAAATTGAATATTGCCATAGCAATTTTTGTATGAGTTTCATATAACATTCTTGTTCTAAATACATATTTTAGCAAGGGAAAAAACCAGCAGTCTTCAGTTCTGAATTCAGGGCAGTTGATACTAATCACAAACTAATGTCTAACTGTTGTTAGGTAAATATTGAGCTTTCACACTCAACAGGAATACTAACATACACTGTGGGCTTTCTTGTTATAATCTATATAATAGAATAATAGAATAGTTTAGGTTGGAGGGGACCTTTAAAGTTAGTCAGCCCAACCTCCCTGCAATAAGCAAAGACATCTTCAATTAGACCACATCGCTCAGAGCCTTGTCCAACCTAGCCTTGAATGTTACGAGGAATAGGGCATCTACCATCTCTCTGGGCAACATGGTTGGCTTTCTGGGCTGTGAGCGCACACACTGCTCAGTCATGCCCAGATTTTCATCCACCAGTGTCCCCAAGTCCTTCTCTGCAGGGCTGCTCTCCATCTCCTCATCTCCCTACCTGTACTGATACTGGAGGTTGGCCCAACCCAGGGGCTGGTCTTTGCGCTTGGCCTTTTTGAAGGCCTTGTTGCTCTTTTAAATATGAGCAATTAAAAGCAAAATATAATGTATAAGGAGATTAAGAAGTTACTATATGTAAAATCTACAAGTTCTTGTTTAAGAACCTAACTATTCTATGATTCTGTGATTCTATAAAAAATACTGCCATGAAATATGAAATGACCTTAAAGTACTTGGTAAGTCATTGTAGTACAACAAATGTGATAATTAATTCATATAGTCATTATGAGCCTAAACTAAATTTACCAGGTCAGCAAGAATTACTCTTTTTTTTTTTTTAGCATTATTCAAACACCAAGCCAAAACATGCCCCCTTGCTAGACTTTTCACAGTAAGAATTTCAGACAGAAAAGATGAAGTACAAGATACACTAGTTTCATATAAGCTTCATGCTGGCTGTCTTTTCTAACAGATTGCCCAAACATTCCTGAACTGCACATAAAGTTTGATGAAGCCTTTAAGCTGGTTAATCTCTCAGGGGAGCAGTACGAGCAGATTCTCCAGGTGGTTCAGCATCATACAGAAGACACTTCCTACTTACTGAACAAAATGAAAGAAAGATTTGGGTGGGTGTCTGAGTTATCCAATATGACCATTGGACCAGAAAACATTTTCAATATAGTTAAGGTAAGGACTGTCTTCCAAAAGGAGTTACTGTACATTGCTGTCTTTGACCTAAGGTTTGCTCATACACATGCTCTTGGGGATTGTGGATGTCTGTACGTGTGTAATGTTTGGTTTCTACAACACAAAGTTCCTACTCATCTTGAATCTGAAACTCCAGAGATTAGAACTGTTTTCCTCTAAATCCTTTTAGTCTGTTGGATGGCTGACAGGCTAACTTGAATCACTGCCTGATAAGAGTAAATTGACACTAGCAGCTTTGACTGGCCTCAGATTACCTTCACAGATAAAATTCACTGTACCAGTCAGTAACACAACTTTATTGGATCACTGAACACCTACCTAGATGTCTGTCTCTACTTATATATCCAAAAGCTCAAAGAAGGCAAATGTTATGCACATTATTGCAATGGAAGCTGCATATCTTTAACAGCATTAGTCAATATTCCAATAAATAACTCTATATCTCACACACAAGAATATATTCAAGGTAAATTCAATATTGTTTTCTTGGGCAAGAGACAAATCCTATCCTCCTTTCCAACTCAGAAATCCAATGTACTATGATTACTATAAGAACTTTATACAAAATGATTATACAATTCACCAAAAAAGCAAAAAATCGGGAACAAGGGGGCAATATTTAAGTACATTGTCCCAGATGAGCCCAAGCTATCTGCTCTAGAAAAATAAAGCTACAGAACTAAGTCTGGTTTAGAAAAACAGATAGAAATTATTAACTTGAAGCACACAAACTCTGTCTTGAAATTAGGGGGACAACACATACAAGTTTTCTATTAGGAGAGCAGAAGTTCTTTACTGGTATAGTTCACGGTATAAACATTAACATACAGTTCTTTAATATGGTTTCGCAGTACCATGTCAGCTCTTCCCACCGCCTACAATAAGCTTTGGCATAAATTTAGACACTCATCCTCTCTACAGAAGAAAGTAAGGAAAGTAGAAAAGCCTAAAATATTCCTTTAATTAATTTTCCCTTATTAAAGACAGTAGGCACAGAGCATAAACAAAACTGAAAGTAGACAGTAGTTTGTAGTGTCTAAAGTACTTATTTGTTCTCTTCTAGGTGGTACCTGGGGATCCCTCTGGTAAAAATGAAACCATGGTAGAGGTGAATATCCTGACTTCACCTACTTTCACCATTAAAGTTCCTCCCAACTTAGACCCAAAGAGTGCTGAGTTCATTGAATACATAGCTGGGAAAGCACTGCAACTATATAAGCAGAATTTTTAAGTGGTAAGTTCATTCTTCCTCCTTTCATAGAGAATGCAATTCTTTACATTTCAGTATACTTTAGCTGGAGCAGGATTCAGTCATGTAATATACAAGACCGTCTCCTCAGAAACCACACATTGTTTGAGACAAACACAAGTGTTATGGAAAAAAACCCCAAATGCTCAATGTTCTAGCCTGTGAAACACAGGCATGATGATATTGAAAGATTTTACTTACTTAACTGTGAAACCCTTGATCTTGAAGTAACATCTGGGGTGAGGCAATGTGATGATAAACATTCTTTCAGAATAGAATTGGCTCACAACCACGGTCCAGAGCCTTGGCATCGGAAACCATGTCTGTGTGTTCATCCATCATGAATGAACTGGAATTACCGCTATTAATTATGTTTTCTATTTTTGGTGGTGTTTAAGAACATGTTTAAGAGCATGTTCCACATTATTTTGATGATAAAGTAGTGCAAAATTAGAATCAGCATGAAGACTCGAAACAGCTGTCTTACCATAACATTTTCCTTAGCAGCACTCTACTCAGATTAGTGATCTTAATAGAGTCTGCAGTTTCACTCACAGGAACACAGAAAGATCTTTCTCATGGCCTTCTAAGAGGTTTTGTAGAAAGGGCTCACAGAGGCCTTTCTCCATGCTTTAGAGATTTCTGGATGGGGAGGGAAGAACCAGGCAGAGAGGTAGGAGAAAACCATTCTTCATATTCTCCGGTCTCACAGGGTATGTCCAGGAAATAGGGGGTGGTTACAGGTGTCATCACACTGCTATGATGCTAGCCAGACACACAGAGAAACCAAGGGAGCTCTAGGATCCTCACCTCTGGTGGCCTCTGACTCTCACAGTTTGATCTCCCAGGGGCAAGTGCCACAAGACATGAGACCTACAGGAAAATCACTGCAGTGTCCCCCTAATCTTCTGAGGAGCACTAGCTTCTGATATAGCTCCTCTTTAGATTATGAGTGTCTGATATCCTCATCTCAACAAATAAAGCATGACCTGAATGCACACAGAAGTCTCAGGAAGGACCTAAAAAGTATTCAACAATACCAAAGTAGATGAAGAAAAATTCAGCTTTTTCATAGACTCACAGAATGGTTTGGTTTGGAAGGCACCTTAAAGATCACCCAGTTCCAACTCCCTGCCATGGGCAGGAACTCCTTCCCCAAGACCAGGTTGCTCCAAGCCCCATCCAACCTGGCCTTGAACACTGCCAGGGATGGGACAGCCACAGCTTCTCTGGGCAACATGTGCCAGTGTCTCACCACCACCCCCCTCACAGTGAAGAATTGCTTCATAATATCCAATCTAACTCTACCCTCTTTCAGTTTAAAGGCATTCCCCCTTGCCCTGTCATTACATGCTCTTGTAAGAAATCTCCAGATTTCTTGTAGGCCCTCTTTTTTAATATTATTTTATATTGACTCTGGTTATTTATTTGAGGTTAGACTTACAATTTTTAAAAGGATGAAAGAAATAATTTCCACCAGAGAGGCTGAGGTGTGTTGCAGAATTTAGACAGAATATAATAAGCCTTGCCATGAAGTCTGCTTAGGTAAATATTGATGAAATTATGTTTATATTATATTTAAAACACTATCATGTTTAGTATTTATAAATATATCAAAATTATCAGCACAGTTTCTCTATAGTTTTTCTTCAAAATTCTCTGTAATTTCTATGCAGTTACTGACAATATATACTCCTCCAGATAATACAAGACTAATCTTCAAGGCTGAATGATGACAATATCGAGTTTCTTAGTCTGATTATGATTTTTAGTCTGATTTTCCTGTGCAACATACCTTGTGTAGCCATTTCATACCTGAGAAAAGTAAGTGGCATTAATTTCCAAATCACAGTATCATTTTACATTCAGTTTGCACAAAAGATTTAAGGTATGTGAAAGTGTGACAAAAACAAAGAGTTAAAACTCTACAAGAAAACGGAAAGATCTGTAAGAAGGGAAAAAGAGAATAAAACCTGTTTCTGTCTTTTTTTTTTATATATTATTCATGTGTTTCTATAGCAGGGCACTGATACATTGAAAATATACTTATTTTTCTATCTTGTTTTCTGTCCAAATCCAAAATGTTTAATATTTTTCTTTTTTTTTTTTTTTTTTCTTTTTTATCCTAGGAAAAGATGTGTGAAATCTTTCTTCCTGTAATCCAGTATATACTCCTTAGGTGGAATACCCCTGAGCTCAACATATAGCCAATTGTTAAATGACTATGGTTAAAATAGTTGTATATCAATAAAATTTTGCTTAGGAAATACTGTGGCATATGAGCTAGCAACTGAAAACTGCAGAAACCTTTTAACTAAAAATCAAATCCATTTTAATGTTCATTTATTTTAAAACGATTTTATGTTGTAAACTGGGCAATTTTCAATAACCAGCTACAGCTCTCGTTATGCAAAGATTTAAGAAAATAATCAGCTATAAACATAGAAGTAATTCCTATTTGCATACTTAACTTCAAGCACATTCTTAAGCCTTTTCAAGATTGGTCCCTACAGATGTTACACATTCAGCTAAGTCTGAATCAACCACATTTCCATATGCATGTACCATATTATTTTCCAATGAAAATGTTCCATTTCTTCCAGTTGCTTTTGATGTTTATCATGTACATTAAATGACTTTTCTGAATATGCAGTAATGAGTAAATCTCCTGCCTTTGGCATTATCTTATTTGTAGTTCACTTCTGGAGTCAACTTTCAAATTAATTAACAGGGAAGCCTTTATCAGAAAATATGTTTGTTTTTTCCTAAATTATGCACATTAACTTCAATGGGATTTGCAAATCACAATGAAGGTTGAGAACTGAGATATATCTCAGAAGCAGAGCTCTAGGTAATTCAGTTTCATTTGCTGTGCCTGGCATTTCTAAGTATTTTTTGCACACAGTTATATTCATCATTTCCAACTGTATCTCTGCTAAATAAATTGTACTAATTTCAAAATGTACAAACCATCTATATTAGATGTGAGTATAGAAAAATAACTGTACCCTAATTTTATCACACCCTTTCCTTTACTTCTATACATGTGAGTAAGTATCGACATTTATACAAGAAAGAGGCCGTTTCATTGTTTTAATTAGTGGGAAAGATGTTTTCCTGCCTGCTGTAAGGAAAGGTAGCATTTCCTAATCCACAGTCTTCTGTTCCATTCAACCTACACTATATATGCCTGTATTACAGGCTCCTAATGATGGGAGATTAGCAGTCATAACTCCTGCAATCATACCAGTTGTCAGAAAGCTGGGGCTTTATCTGACAGATAAGTGACTCTTACAAAATGCTTGACTTGTAAGATATAGTAACAAATAAATATTCAGAGTCAGTTTGTTTTCACTAACGGAGAGAGTATACCTAGAAAATTTTCAGAAGACACCAGTGGGAGCAGTTGCAATCAGTGCAGAAGACACGAGTCAGGATGCAAAATGACATTGAGAAAGCTGAGATCAACAAGATGAAACTCAATAAAAGCAAGTGCTAAGTAGTACCCTTAGTGAGAAAACCAATGTGTAAATAAAATACGAAGCAGTCAGCCACTGACAAGGCACAGCATAAAAGGATTTCATCTTTAGAACTGCAGGTCACTGTAACACTGTTGCAACAGAGAATGCGAGCCTGTGTTTAAGACATGGCACTGCAGGACACCACACCAAAGATGAGGGAGGCTTGCACTGGGCTGCACTCGGGGCTTTGGCATTTCAGGATATCCTGGCTGCAGGGATCCCTCTCCAGACGCATGTGGTGTGCTAGGCCCAGCCAAGGTCTTTGTCCTTGTTCAGCTCTGAAACGCCATGCCTGAGGTTGCAGAGATAAGAAGGAAGATCACAGAATCAGAGGTTAGAGCTGGAAGGGATCTTAAAGTTACAACCCCCAGCCATGGGCAGGGATGCCTTCCACTAGACCAGGTTGCTCCAAGCCCTGTCCAACCTGGCCTTGAACACTGCCAGGGATGGGGCAGCCACAGCTCCTCTGGGCACCCTGTGCCAGTGTCTTACCACCCTCACATTAAAGAACTTCTTCCCAATATCTAATCTAAGTCTACCCTCTCTCAATTTAAAGCCATTCCCTAAAGTCCTATCACTACATGCCCTTGTAAAAAGTCCCTCTCCGGCCAAGTCCAACAAATGCCAACAGCACTTCCTAGCACGACAGAGGCTGGTGAGCAGCTGTGCTGCCCTTGGGGGCACAAGGAGTTAAAGTCGGTACGGTGGTGGAGCGCGGACTCAGGTTAGAGGCTCGGGCCAGCCCTCCGCCAGGCGGACAAGCCCCGTAGGGGGCCGCAGAGGGTTGGCTGTGAGGATTTCCAGCACCAGGCGAGGAAGTTTACAAGGGTAACAAAGGAGCAGGCACAACCCACCCCTCTTTACGGCCCTAACCGAGCAGGGGGCCGCTGCCGGCCAGGCAGAGGGCGGGAGGGAGGCGGTGGCTGCGCCCGCTCTGCCCGCCCTTTTCTCGCTGCTTGGCGGGAAAAGCAGGTCGTTGGCGGGTGCGGAGGAGAAGCGGCTGGCGGGAGCGGGACAGCAGAGCA